AGCAGGTATGTCACATTGGACTCTCAGCAGGTAGAGAGTGTTGAGCAAGTTGTTTGGATATCGCAGCAGGTGGAGGGTGATGCTACTCCACGTTGGGTGGAGTTTACTCCACATACTCCAGATCATACTGCATCGTTTGGGATTCCAGCTGAGGTGACACAGATTAGGGATCATTTGGTTTTGGATGCAGATGATATTGGTGAAGAGTTGCAGACTTTTCTATTTGATTGAGAGCCTTTGGAGACCGTTTGGGTGAACTACGTGAAGGCTTGATTCATTGGACAAGAGGATACGTGGGCAATCTTTATGATGCAGGCGATTTGGTGAGTAGATGCCGACGTTTGGGTGAGTGTTCGTACTCCCGTTTGGGTCTGGACTTGTTGTGAATTGAGTCCGTTGTTGTGGATCGTTTCACTTCGTACTGGACACAACAAGTGAGGCATTTGGTTTGGTCGGTGTCGGCTCAGTTTTGGGAAAACTTCGTCGAGATGGAGAATTGTTGGATAGCGGATTCCTAATCTATTTTGGTAACATGAGGTTATTAGGATTCCTAATCTATTTTAGTAATAGGTTATTAGGATTCCTAATTTGTTTTGGCTTTTGGTTTAGAATTCCTACTATGTTTATGATTTTAGGATTTCTATATATATTTAACTATTGGAAGAGAGAATTGAGAAGCAAATTGGGGATATTTGGAGCACAGAAAAGAGGTATTTTCTGAGCTATTTGTTTAGGGTTTTGTTTGGAGAGATTAAGAGTTTGTTGGTGAGATTAGTTTGTTCATTCTAATGATTTGTAATCTCAGTTTGTACTCTTTCTCTATTAGTGAAAACTTCATCCCCTTCTTGCCCCGTGACACAAATCAGTTATGTTACTTTTGTTAAGCCATAACATGTGAGAGAGAGAAAAAAAAGGGCATTTCATTTATGACACATCTCATATTTTTCATATCCATTTATTTTATTATAGATATATATTATATCTGTTTATGTTGTCTTTTTCCTACTAAAAATAACGGAGATACTTCTTATATTTGCACAGTTGCCTTGTAGGATCACGTGCATTGCATTTATTACACATCTCATATTTGTCATATCCGTTTATTTTATTTTTCCTACTAAAAGTATTATAAAGCAGCATCAACAGACACTCATATAAGAAATCAAAAGTCAAAACAACATCTAAAAATAAGAAGGTTTTTTTATTTATTTAGATCCATATTATTTAATTTGACTGAATTTTGTAAACCCGTTCAGTTCTAAATCATTAATTGTGTTTGAAATTAAAATCCAGTGTTGATCTTAAGTATGGTAATTAGGATTCGCAACAAACTATTTGAAGAGTGAATTTACCATGACGTCCATTGATAATTAAAAAGACTACATAATTAATATGTTTTACTCGACAGATTTTTTTGTTTTATACACTTCTGTAAAAATCAAAATAACATAAAAAATAGCAATAACTACATTTATGAGTTAGAATGTCAATCCTTAGATTATTTGAATTGAAAATTTAAGATATGTGTGATACTACATCAAATGGATATCAATGCTTAGATTATTAGATCTTAGGATTCATGTAGAGATTTAAGGATTAACATCATCTAAATGCACATTTAATGTTGTGAACCGTCTTTACTAGATACTTTCTAGCAAACTGAAAATTATCAATTGCAACACAATGTCACCTTAAAATTTATGGATCATAATAATATAGAAATTTTGTGGATTTTAGTTTACTAGATACTTTCATACATGTGCATGTTAGAAGCATCACGTGCATTGCATTTATCACAGATCTTTCTTGTCGGTTTAGTTTATGGTTTATTTTAGAAAAACTCATCAATTATTAGAGGTGGCTCAGAAGAGAGAGCCGTCTCAACTTTTTAATTCAAGGAAACCCCCTCAACTTTTGGTACGTCCTAAACAACCGCCATCAGCTTTGAAAGTTTCACTTAACCCCCTCAACTATATGGTGTTTCATGAAACTCTCTAAATTCTATACTTTTCTTAGCAAACCCTCCTAATAAATGACATAAATATTCTTTCTGCGAAAAACTCATTTAAATTAAAACCCACAAATATTCCCTACCAATTCATCGTAGGAAGTCTAGGCTTATGTTTTTTGTGACTTAGGGGTATCTTTATCCTTAAAAATCACTTTCTTATCAGCGGTACATTAGACTTATTGGTGTTAGTTAGGGATGTTAAATAAACTTTTCAAATTTAAGAGAAGTTATCTACAACACCAAAAATTTGAGGAGATTTACTAAAAATGAAATAATTAATAGGGTTTTCTGAGACACCCTATATAAGAAGAGGAGGGAAGGCCGGTGTTGGGTTCTAAAATTAACCTTTACTTTATCCTACTCAAATTCACTCACTTTTAATGCTTATTCTATTAAAAATATTATAAAAGTGAAACACAAAATATATCCATATCAGATCTGATGTAAATTTCATGTTCCATGTAAAAGTATAGAACTATCGTTAATTAAGAAACTAATTTATTAACATTTCATCGAAACTTAATTTGCACTAAAACACTCCAAAGTGCACCCCATTTTTAACTTTGATATCCATATCCATAATATATTCCAAAATTTATACCTTTTTTTACTCTGATATCTTAAAGTGCTTTCCTCAAAACATATATACCCCAAAGTGCACTTAAATCTAAAATTGATATCTCCATTAGTTTATATAATTGACCGCGTCTACGAAAAGTAATTTGATTCCAACCCTAATACGTAACATGTACCTTACAACCAGGGCCAGCCCTGGGGTAAGCCCACCAAGCCCCGAGGCTGGGGCAACCCAGGGCCGGGGGGGCAACCATCGCGATTACATCCTTCACCCCTCAAACCGTAATAATTTTTGAAGTGGACTTTGTAAGAGGACTTTTATGCAAAAATTGTTAGGGTTCTATTAGTAAAAAACTCTTATTAATACTCAAAGCCCTACCCAACTCCTCCTTTATTTCCGTCAGCCTCTTCTCCTCCTTCTCGTCTATGTTCTGCCGCTCACAAAAAAAGAAAAAAAATAGAGAGAATCTGAATCGACGGAGACACCGCTCTGTTCCGCCGTCTCTGTTCCGTCAGCCTCCAACTTCTCCTTCCTATCTCTGCTCCCATCCTTCGGATCACCCCACTGACTCCTCCTCAAACAGTCCGATCCAGTCACCCAAAAGACGGAGAGAATCTGAATCGACTTATCAACGCCGACGACCAATCGGTCCATCAAAGAAACACAATCATGTATTTTTTTAAATAAATAATTTTAGGGTTTTTTTGGACGAAAATTTGGGGTTTTGATGTTTTGCAATGAAATTTTTTAAATAAATAATTTTAGGGTTTTTTTGGACGAAAATTTGGGGTTTTGATGTTTTGCAATGAAATTAAGATTTCTGATTTTGAATCAGGGTTTTTTTGGACGAAAATTTGGGGTTTTGATGTTTTGCAATGAAATTAAGATTTCTGATTTTGAATCCTGGCTGAATATTAGTTGTTGAATTAGGAGTTATGATGTTTGGGCGGTTTCGTGTAGGTTTTTATTTTGAAACTAGAATTTAGATTTGATTTAGCTATTTGGGTGGCACAATTATGCCTTCTGACTAGTTTCTCGCGGTCTCCATAAGTTTAAAAGAAGCTTATCAAAGTTGAAAGATAGAAAGAGAAAATAATGTTTACTTGTTAAAAAGTTCATCTCCCTTCTAGTCATCTAAAACTCAAAAATCCTAATGGACGATAATCTGATATATTTCTATTTGGTTTTAATTATAATCTCAATTTAACTTTGATTTGATGACATTCATATTATTGGATTGCTATCTAGATTAATTGTTTGATTGTTTTAATAATAATGATATTGCTAAGTCTTCGTTCCGGCATCAGTTTAGTTGATTGTTGTGATTTCATATATGTTATCTTCGCATTACCATGTCACAGGATTGATTAAATGGATTGACAATGATATCAATTAAAAATGAATACTTCGAGAAACTCGAGTATGATGACTTAATTGAAGAATTCGCTTCAAAAAATTTAAGGAGGAGTGTTTTTCCTTGAATTAAATTGTAGCACAAATATAATTTTTTCTTATAGAAATATTGATTTTGCAAGAGAATATTATCAGTTTGAGCCCAATATAGAACACTAAATGGTATTATATGTATTCATTTTTATCGTTATTATTCGTACCAAAATTTTAATATAATGGGCAACCAAAATTGGATGGGCTAGGACAACCCAAACCTCGGGGCCGGCCCTGCATACAACATACTCTAAACCTCGATTATATTCATTGCTAAAATTTCTGATCATCACATACTTTATCTAATTAATTGCCGCAATTGGTTTTTTTTAGTCTCCTTTAGTTATATCAATAACAATACTTAAACCTTGTAAAACTTTAGGAGTATTTTTGGTTAAAAAAAGTGAGGTATATTTTGAGCAAAAAAATATTAAGAATATTAAAGTTAAAAATAGAGTAAACTTTGGAGTATTTAAGTGCAAAAAAACCCTAAATAACTCTGCCACACATCTTTACTTTTTCAGTATTAAAAATAATTTTTTTTCCCCACAAGGCACTTCATTTTAGTTTTCATAGTTGTAGGAAAAAAATAGTGTTAATTTCAGATATCCTCCCAAACTTTGGAGTGTGTTGCACATAAACCCCTTAGATATTTTTATCTCGAAACACCCTGAACTTTGACCTTTCTTATGGGACATCCCTACTTGTAATTTGAAAAAATTTCTAAACTTTGTCATTTATACGTATCACACCCACTTCCCCTAATTTTTAGATTTTTCCTCTCAAATAAAACTTTAGTTATTTACAAAATATAGGCAATGAGGTCCGATGAGAAAAGTTTACCGGAGAGTTTAGGGGGTTATGTGAGAAAGATAAGGTTCAAAGGGGGGTTTTGTGAAATTAACGTAAAATTGGACTTTTTACGCTGACATATCCAGATTCAGTGGAGTAGACCCTATTTATACTCGAAGTGAGGTGCGAAGGACCCGTCCCCTTCAAAATCCCACCGTGGTTCTTGTGCCCAACCAACCCCCGATGGAGGCGCTCAAGGCTGCGATCGGCGACGGCGTGATAACATTCCTGTGGATGTTCTGCATCTCCACAGTGGGCCCCACGACGGCGGTCATCGCCAGGCACTTGGAGCTCAGGAGCCTCCCTCTGATCCTAGGGATCACCGTTCTCTTGATCACCGCCCTGCTTTTGATCTTCAGCCAAATCTCCAAGCTCCTCGGCAAGGCCAGCTTCAATCCTGCCAACACCGCCGCTTTCTACGCCGCCGGAGTCAGCAAGGACAGCTTGTTCTCCATGGCCCTCAGATTCCCCGCTCAGGTTTCGACGATTTTTCTTTCTTTTTTTTTCGTTGATTTTTGGTTTTGTTAATGAATTTTGGGTGGCTATTTGCAATTTGTCCTTCTAAACTGCCAACACGTCCAGTGCTAATTAGTTGAAGACTGGGGGAGTTATCTGCAATATATCCTTTAATTCCAAAAGGTTGCTCTGCCCCTCTCTCTCTCTCTCTCTCTCTCTCTCTCTCTCTCTCTCATTAAAGTTTAAATATTGATTTAGAATAAGGACGTATTGAATTGTGAAATTTTTAGTAACGTGTTTTAAAATTGTACCGTGTATAGACCTTTGTTCTTTACAAAATTAAGAAACGTTTTAGTATTGAGGAATTTGGTCGTCGAATTTTATGACAATTCTTAAGTTTCAACTTGTTGGAAAAAGTTATATCATAAAAAATTGACATTCTAATTTGACGTAAGTTCTGTAAATTTGAAGGAATTTTGTTAAATTAATTATTTTATAGATGGTCTGGTGACATATTAGTTAGGAAAGTTTTGGCTGATAATGATGATGATGCTTCAAGAAATCCTTCCTCATTTCAAAACACTACTAAAAATACATGTTATTTGTACGTACAAATAACATTTATTGAATAACGTGTATTGGTTTCAGATTTGGGAGGTGTTAAAAGTTAGAAGTCTTGGAGTTGATCTGTTGTTTCCTTTAATGATCCCTGAAATTGCAATATGAGGACACATTTTGAAATTGTACTCTTGTAGACATTTTAATTTTCATGATTTGGTGTACTTACACTCACTGTTATGCATATATTATTTATTTTGTCAAACAAAAATGTTATTAGATAGTTCCTTGTCCAAACACGAAGTTCATCTCTGGATGATCTTATTTGGCTCTGTTTTAAGTTCTAACATTTTTGTCGATATAGGTTTGTGTTCAAGTTCAGAACTGATGTATATCTGTATTTGAGTATTAATTTTTGACGGGAGTGATCCAATAGGGGGCTAACCTATATCATTGAAACCCATAAGAGATTGGTTAGGGTGCTGCAATGGCCTAATGGCGCATTGTGCATGATTTCGTGGCATGATGAATAGTTTTTGAAACAAAAAGAAGAGGTAAAAGCTGTGAGAAAATGAATTGGTGTATTATTGTTTTGAATATCCCCAATATAGCTGATATGTCAGCCTGTATATCCCTTTAAAAGGGTTACCACAATCACAAAACGATATGGTTTTGATATCCTTTACTGCTTTTTGGTAATTTTTGAGTGATATATCCCCAACTTGGCCGATACATAGCCGATTGGTCCTATTATGTGGCTTGTCACAAAATAATATATCGAGCTTTTGACAATTTTTGGGCGACATATCATGATCTTCCTAATGTATCAGGTGACATTTTGGTCTCAAACAAATCAGCCAAAATGTTGAGATGTCGATTTGGATCTCCATTTGTTTTAAATGAATGGGTTAGCTTTATATTCAATTGATTATGCTTACATTTTGTTAAATATGTTCAGATTACATTTTAGAATATTATATCTTATATGCACATCATTTGATGGGTACTCCAATATTTACTACTGATCAATTCAATGTTTATTATCAGGCACTTGGGTCTGTTGGTGGTGTTCTTGCAATCAGAGAGGTGATGCCTTCTCAGTACAAGAGCCTGCTTAAAGGGCCTTCTTTGAAGGTGGATTTGCATACAGGGGCGGTGGCAGAATTCATTATAACTTTTGTGTTTACTTCTGCTTTGCTTTGGATAATCATCAAGGGTCCTAGCAATGCTTTTCTCAAAACACTGATGCTTGCGACGACGACTGTTACCATGGTTGTTTCTGGCAGAATATATACAGGGCCATCCATGAACCCAGTAAATGTAAGCCACGTCTTTCCTTTCCTTTTTTTCCTTTTGCTCTTTCCTCGTCACATGTTTTTGTTTTCGTTTATAACTGACATGTGGGTCTTTTTAATAATAAAACTGTAAATTTCATTTTTTAAAAAAGGAATATATATGTATATATATAGAGAGTGAGAAATTCTTATGTCAACTTAAGTGGACTATCCACCAAACTTTCTATCCATTGATATTCTCCTAGCGGATCCATGCAAATATGAAGTGTCTTTTATATATATATATATATATATTACTATAATATATATTAGTTATATATATATATATATACCTATATATATATAGACAGAGGACTGAGAGCAGAAGATTAATGGGCTATCCTGTTCATGTAGGAGCGGATTTCCTTCCTATGACCGCCTCTAAAATCACATGATGAAGCGACCATTGTGATGATGCCGCCTCCGTTGAACTTGATCTAATATATTCTAAAACCCTAACACACCAGTGTGCGAGCTGAACCCGTCGTCGTTTGACCCATTCATCCACTCGTAGTCAATTTTAACGGTTTTTGAATGAACTAGACTTTTCACATGGCGTCGATAGTAGGATCAAACGACGACGGGATTTACCCAAACTTCGGGGCCGTGTCTTTGTTGGGGGTCTTACGAATATGTAGAATCAGTTCAACGGAGGCGGATCATCCATAATGGGTCCCTCAATCACTGTGAGTTTTAGAGCGTTCATAGGGAGAAATATCGCCGCTTCTATGACAGGATACCATTAATCTCCTCTATCGAGCCATAGTGAAAAGATTCTTATTCATTTCAAACACCCAGTTACAATTGATACATGTTGACAGGGTCACAACGCACGACGGTGTTCACCCCAAACTTGTGGTGTTTAGGTTTTTAGAATATATAGATCAAGTTTCAACGGAGCGATCATCTCCACAATGTCGCTCAATTATGCTGATTTTCAGGCAGCTTACATAGGAGAGAAATCCCTTGTCTATGACAAAGGATAACAATTAATCTACTATATATTATATATATATATATATATAAATATATATATTATATATATATATATATCTATATTATTATATATATATTATATATAAGTAGTAATATCATATACTATATATAGATTATCATGAGTCGGATAGAAGTTTGCTGTGGACAAAGACTTGCTATGCCACTATAAGTTTGACATAAGCTCACCTCTCTCTCTCTCTCTACTCTCTCTAATATATATATTTATTATTATTAATAATATATATATAACACACACAAAATTCGTGGCCATGGCTGGATTAGTTAAGAAAGAAACTAGGTGCCATTTATTGTTTGCAAAATTTCACGAGTCAGTGGGATCTTAAGTTGTTGCTGGGTATATGCTCCTCTCCAACATAACCTCCACGTACATGTATATATAATTATATATATATATATATATATATATGATATATACAGAATATGCTGGCCATGGCTGGATTGGTTAAAGAAGGAAAATTAGAGGTGGCCATTTGATTGTTGATCACGAGTCAGTGGATCTTAAGTTTTTTTGGTAGGGTTATGCTGCCTCTCCAACAGATAACCTCCAGGTACATGTTAACTAAAAGTACGAATAGCTAGTTTCAGCTTCTCCTTTAGTCACGTAAAGATATTTAGAACTAAAGTTTATTGTTAAAAGTTTGCATCTGGTTTGGGTTTCATAATGGAATACATGCCTTTGAATCTTAAGGTACTTTGGAATTTTCAAGAATCAAAATTATGTTTGGTTTTGCTCCAACTAATTAGTTGGCTTATTATTTTACACTGCAATTGATTAGAACAAACTTTCATTGGATTCTTTAATATCAGCGTAGTTAATGATTTTGTTGGAAGTTATTTAAGGATGCTAATGGTGAATTTTGGAGGGCAACGCCTATTAATAACGTGGCATCCTATATGTGTTTTTTATTTTTATTTTTATTAATAATCATCCTATATTTGTTTCAAGTAACTCTTTTCTTGTTTTGACATTTTTTGGTCTTCGTAAGTACCCTTCCTTTTATCCAAGGGGAAACACTATCTCCCCTAAGTCCCCTTAACTTGTCAGTAAACCCCATATACGTCATTTTCTTTTATCACATATATCTGACCATCCCTCTTCCTCTTGCTATCTTATGTGATATGATAGAGCATAATGTTGGTCTAAATAGCCCCCTATTATCTTTACTAATGATGGTTAATTAAGAGTGCTGTTAACAATGATGTAGCCTTAAACCAGGCCATAAACCAGAAGCCTGGACAATCCCAAACTAGCAAGTGGGTATCAACAGAAAATACGTTTGCACCACTTTGTTCTTCTTTTATCCAAGGTTTTAAATATCAGCCGACATGTCGGACATGTCGACCGACATATCGGTTTGAGGGCTTGACCGAAACGACATGGACGTTTTCAACTCGTATGTCGGTTTTCAGGGCCAAATCGGAAATATCAGGGTCATATCAGGCATATCGGTCTATTTTTTAGCTTTGAAAAATCAGCCGACATAGTACTTTTTTTAAGATCTATTTTTTATTATCGGGTTTGGGTTTAGTGATAAATACCCAAACTCGTTTGACCTGTTCTCATGTTTAAGGGTTTCTTATGAACCCGATAGAAAGAATTTATGAACCCAAATCCATATATTATTTACTTTTTTTATATGTTTAGTCTATAGAATTTATAAAGTATGCTTATATTGAATTTATGAATACTTAGATTACATTTAGGATATGATATTATACATATGCGCACTACCCGATATGGCAATCCGATATTTAGTCAATGTCCCCCGATATATCCCCGATTTTCGCTATCCGACATGAATTTCAGCCATCCGACATGAACCCGACATCCGACATTTAAAACCTTGCTTTTATCTATTAATTTTAACCATGCGTTTGTGAGTGTGGGGCCCAGCCACCACGTGTGTGAGTTATTTCACGTGAGCTTTCAAAACCGCGTGAGTTTTGTTTTCATAAGTTCATGGGCCTTTCCGAATCCGCGTGAGTTTAGGGATTCGTTTTGGCCACAAATTCTCCGGTTATATAAAGGAACAAATACTGTTCCTAGGGCGGTGTGCAAGGGCAGTTTTGTTTTGTTCTCTTTTGCGGCTGAAGCAGAGGGAAAAGGTGCGGGAGCTTTCTTTTGGGATTTTTGGTTTTGAGCCGTCCCCTTTATTTAGGGTTTTTGTATCTCCCTTTTGAGAGTTTTGTGTGAGGGATTTGAGAGTTTGTGTGAGGGTTTTATTTGTGAGATTCTTGTGTAAACCCTATTTGTATTCTCTCCCTCTATTAGTAGATCTCCCCCCTCCTTGCCCCGTGGACGTAGGCAATTTGCCGAACCACGTTAATATTGGTGTCTTGCCTTTTGTGTGATTTGTAATAGCTTTTAGGGTCCCTCGACGCGCAGTCCTAGAGCTGACGAGAGGAAGAGCTAATATCCTACTTTGATAGGATATATGCTTCAGATTCTTGTTCCCTTTGAGAAACAAGAATTCTTATTGCGATCTGACTCTCCTGTTGTGCTGTCGAAGTGCTGCCGAAATTTTCGCTGCGCGCAACAAGTGGTATCAGAGCCCAGATTTCAGATCTAGGTTTTTTTGGTGGAGGAAGATTTTTTGTGTGAAGCTTGGTTCTTGGAGTTCTCGGCTTCGGTGGAGGTAGCATTAGGAGTTGCCGTTGGAGATTTCGCTTTCCTCGTGTGGATAGGAGATCTATTTGGAATCCGATCTAGGGTTCAGTTGGGTGGTTCCTAATTCTATCAAATTTGTTCTTTCTCTACAATTTGGAGTTAGTTCGCAATGGGAGAAGAAGGTGAAAGCAGCAAATCGATGGCGGGTACAATACAAGTTGGTTTTCAAAACACCAAAATTAGTGTGGTGAAATATGACGGAAAAATCAACTTTGGTTTGTGGATGAGCGACGTACAGGATGCGTTAAATGCTCAGAATTTGGAAGAGACCATCATGGTCCACGAGAGGTCACCTAAATATGAAGAGATGGTATGGGAGAAAATGAATAGGAACGCTTGTGGGGTGATCAGGTCCTGTTTGGAACAGGAGCTGAAGTATGATGTGATTGGGGTGACGTCTGCGATGAAGATGTTGGAAATTCTCAACAATAAGTACCTTACGAAGAGTGTTGAGAACCGATTGCACTTGCTGCGTAGGTTATTCAGATTCCAGATGTCCAGAGGCACCTCGCTTGCGGCTCATGTGAACAACTATACGAAGTTGTTGTCGGACTTGGCGAATGTTGATGAGAAGATATCGGATGAGTACAAGGCGATTATTTTGTTGGGCTCCTTACCGGATGAGGAGTATGATACCTTCGTGCTCACTTTGTTGAACGGGAGATCTTCTATCAGCTATAGTGAAGTGACTAACGCTTTGACGAACTACGATTTGAGGAGGAAGGATAAGGAGACTTCCCGCGCTAGTACTTCAGGAGAGGCCTTGTCGACAAGAGGTAGAAGCCCATATCCGAAAGGTGGTAACAGAGGGAGGTCAAAGTCTAGAGGCCGCCACCAATTAACAAAGAACCAATGTGCATTCTGCAAGGAGCAGGGACATTGGAAGAGAGACTGCCCGAAGCTCAAGGAGAAGGAGAATAGCAAGAAAAAGGGCCCGAAGTCCAATGAGGTGAACATTGCGAAAGGCGATGATTCCGATGATTCGTGCTTTTCTCTACTGATTACTCCGGAGGTGAACCATGTGGATGCATCAGATTGGATGCTTGATTCCGGCGCTACCTTTCATGTGACCCCTAGGCGAGACTGGTTTGCATCTTTTGAGAAAGTCGACGGGGGCGTTGTTGTCATGGGAAATGATCAATCCTGTGGCGTTTGTGGGATAGGTACCGTACGGATTAGGATGCACGATGGAGTAGTCCGTGAGTTGAAGGAGGTGAGATTTGTTCCTCAACTGAAGAAAAATCTTATCTCAGTTGGAGCTTTGGAGGCGAAGGGATTCAAGGTGACTTTCGAAAACGCTG